GAAAGAGTGGTCCCATTTTCTACTTGTGATACGTTATGTGATCGATTGCTGATACTATTGTTATTTACACTGAAACACCTACTATTTTTTGTGGTTTGAATAATACTTTCAATAGTGCACAAGCCCTCAAACTCAACAGCCCCCTGCTCTGTTTTGGAACACTCTGAAACTTCTCTCCCCAGGCTGATGTCATTGGCACTGTAACTGTTCCTAAAAATGACATCACAAAACAGGTGTATTACTCTTTCTGAACCTATGACACAAGTTATGTGAAAATTCCTTTCTAATACGCTGGTTCATTCTAGTAGGAGTTATTTTTAGAGCAAACCCCCATCCCTTGCACTGTTTAAAGGCAATGAAGTAGACATTCTTGACATACAGCAATCAAATACTTATCACATTTTATTTCTTCCTTTTTCTCTTTTTCTCTGTTTTGGTGCTATTTTAAACATGAGCTCTGAGATTTGTATATCATGTAAAATCTTCATATGTCACATCCTGTCCCTGCAAAAAGCCGCTATCTCTGTTAAATGTACCAATGTAATCTCCTTACCTGGTCCAGTTTCACATGTTATAGGAAACTGTTCAAGGCATGGGCTTGACTGATTGGGATAAATCATTGTTTCTTGCACCCACCAGTATGGGCGATGGCCAAATAAAATCCTGACAAAAAAATAAAATAAAATAAAATGAAGCAGAAACACATTAAAAAGATTTTTATGTAAGAAAGCCTCAGCAAAGCATGATAAATAATCTTACAAGGAATATGAAGAGCTATATTGCCAAAATTATTCTGTAATAGTTCTACAGGTTCTTCTTGTCTTACCAAAATGTCATTTCAAACATACCTTAAATATCTTCACTGTGAATTTCTGTTTTATAATTACAGGGGAAAGTCTACTAATACATTATTCACAGAAAGTTTTCTAAACTTGAGGTACATATAGTAACCATCATTAAAAATACCAAATCTTAAAATAAATGCAACTTCTTACCATTTAAATATGAGGTTGAACCAATCACCAATGACTGCCACCCATATCATTTTAGTACCAACCACTTGGTTGAGCTGAAACCAAAGAGGAAAATAAATTGAGAATATATTCCTGGGATCTCCAACATGTGACATAAAATTAAGGAAATCCTGGTAAGCCCTGTAGTCCCTCTGTAAATGCTGAATGATAAGCACGCCATTGCTATGAAGGACATCCATCTTAATGGATTAAACTGTACTTGAAATATAGTAAAGTTCCTTTAATCTTAAGTTTCTAGTGGTGGAGAATGAGAACCATGGAAGGGAGCTATTAAAAAGTGAGAGAAGGTGATTGACGTTGCCTTTATATTGTATCGCCGTGGTGTACCCAGCCATTCCTGGAACACGTGGGTCCAAATCTCCGGGAAAGCACATGAGTCTGTTAGCACTGGAAAGCTTTTCTGTTTGCAAATTTTAATTGGGGGAAACTAAGTGAAGTACATGCTGAGCAGCAGTAAATTGTGGGGAAAGTTTTGTGGAAACACAATGCGTGACTTAGGCAATCCTTTGTATGAACAGTTGGAACATGTTTGCTTGAATTTTTTCACAGTTCATTTCTCTGCAGGATGGGCATTAGCAGTGTGTATACTTCATTAAGTGTTGCCTGTATAAAGGATAGAAAGAATACACAAATAATTGGTCTTTGCAGAACTGTCATTAAAGCCGTACATTTCACTTTGGAATAGAATTTGGCCACCATGCTGCATCTAATACTTTGCACAACACATTTTCAGTCACGGAAAAGACAACCACCATCCATACATCAAGAATGCTGTTGAGCTCTAGATTAATTTTTAAAGTAGCGATATCCTCAAAGCACTGAAAAACAATTGTTTCCTTCATACAAGAGGCCATGCTAGTCTAGGGCACAATGCAGATGAAGCTTAGTCTCTGAGTCATCTCATTCAGTATTGCCATTCTCGCATATTGCTTGCATGAGGCAAGTCCTACCCACCTCTGCCAGAAGGAGCTGAAGCCTGACCTGCTGCGGCCCCCTTCTTGCTGCCCAGCCTAGCAGAAATGAGACCTGCTTTGCAAACCAGAGCAAGGTTGGGAACAGATGATTATGAGTATTTCCCTGAAGTATTCCCAAGTGAAGCACCTGGGTTCTCCAGGGCGAATAGCCAAGAGGAAACTGAGATTCTGCCAGATAGCAGGATTTTAAGAGTATACAGCAAATAATGTATTAGCACATCAGATTTATCAATATTAGTATTAATAACTGTAGCATAGGAGAAGATTACGTTCATTTGTGAGGTGGCTACATGATAAACTTTCTTCCACAAGAGATTAAATGGATACCAAAAGTCTGATGATGCCATCATCTGATAACATCAGAGCGGCAAGAGGAAAACTTCAGTTATCAGGCTCTCATATTCATATCTTCTATTAAAGATTATCTATGTATCTGAAACAATTAAAAGCAGAAAACAAAAGCAGCTGTACGTATGCACTGCGCCCTTCCCTACTGCTTTCTCTGTGGCACTTAAAGCTAAACTATACAAGATGTGGAGACAAAGATATGAACTACTTAACTGTTTTTGCTGAAGAGAGACTTAACGGCTTAACAGGGCTTTATGATGTGTGGTCAGGGAAGTCACATGGAAACATTGAGTAGATTCAGCAAATAAGGCTTGACAATTAAATGGACTTAGAAGACCTCTCTTCCTGACACAATCTCACATTTACTTTAGCTATTAATAGTCTGTTTGTAGAAACTTTTTAGCAGATTTAAGTCCTATATGTTTATTGCTACCAGTTGCATTGAGCCATGTAGAAAACCTTGACGTTAAAAAGAGATTTAAAATTCTATGCACTGTTTCTGAATAACTACTATAATATTTTTCTGTACATTGACTGAATTATTCACTTCAATTGGCATCACCCGATTTCAAGGAAAACCCTTCCAAATGCAAAACTTCAGGATATTTCAATAATAAATATTTCCTAGTTTCTTAGCTGCAAATATTTTGGGAGGTTTTTTCTTGCTAAGCCATATAGCTTATAGCTTTTCAGAGTGTCCAGCAAGGGAACTGTCATATAAATGAACAGATGGAACTTATTTTCCCTCTCCCAGTTCTTTCCCAAGAACTTACTTGTTTAGAAACATCTCTCTCAAATAACTTTTTATACCTTACCACTAGAGAAAATGTCCTTTTGCTACATTGGGTTTTTTTCTGCAAAAGTATCTCTCCTTTAAAGATAAGTAGGACTTACGATAACAACAACAATAAAAATCACTCTTTTAATACATGTCTGGGTTCAGTATGCAAAAGTGTGGAGAATCTGAGGTTTTCTTCTGGTTTTCAGTTTAGTTTATAAAGAATAATTAGCTTTAAACCTGAGTGTAAATGTCAAGTCAGTTGGTGGCTCAGTAACAGCCATCTTGCTTCTAGTACTTAGTTAAAACAGCAACTGTAATGAGGTTAAGTCTAAACAACTATTGCTCTATTAGGAAGAGTATTTTGCAATAAGTAAGTTTCCATCAAGATACAATTTAATGTCCTCAGGAGAGTCTACCAAGGAATAAAATAGATCACCTTCCAGTCCCTTTTTAATGCCACAATTGTTATTTATCAGAAAAATTGCCTCTCTGACGCAGGACCATTGCAATAACTATTTGTGTGTCTGTTTTGTTTATAAATATAAAAAAACCCACCCATGTCACCCATTAGGATAGTGCTGCATCTGCTCAGGCTGAACTCTTCTTCAGACAGAACCACTCAGGCACACTGGTTCTCCAGAAACTTTTTTAATATAATGTTTGAAGGTATGTCTTGGCAACGTTTCAGTACAGCAACCTCTTTTAGTATAAATGCTAAAGGCCTCCTGATATTAATTTTAATTTTAAAGATTTTGCTGCTGATTCATATGCTGCTAATTATCTTTCTGCTTAGATAGAAAGATAAACACCTTAGACATGATGAAGACTAACAGCTAACAGCAAATATAAATAAGCTTTAATTTTTTCCTACATTCTTTCTGTTTCAGAAGCTCCTACATCCACATCTTAGACATACCACACCACACATAAAACATGTTTTAAAAAAAAAAAAATCCAGAGTCTACAAAACAGAAAGCAGGAAGTTTTTGGAACAGGTGAGTAGGTTTCTGTGGGAGAGGCAGTTCAGATGATATTCTCATTGTGCCTGGAAGCACTCATGATCCTGCTTCATCCAAGAGGCAATCAACAGCTGACACGAGTCATCTCTTATCCTGCCTGTGATATCTGGCAACTTATAAAAGTCTGAGATGCTAAAGACTTTCCTAGCTCTAGTAACCAGCAGAGAAAAGAGGGTGAAACATGTCTTGAAATACTATATTTAATAAGTTCTTTAAACTAACAAAGGAGAAATACTTCCTCAATCAGCTTTCTTTACCCTCCTTTTCTATGCAAAGCACTGCAAAATGCTTCTGCAATAAGCTTAGTATTTCAAAGTCACTTGAGATAATATATGAAATAAAACTATTTGCTGTGTTTTAGTATGTAGAATTGCGAGGAAAAATAGTGATCTGTACAAAATGGTCAGAATGTGTATGCAATTAAGTTTTTTAAATCAAAGCTTTGTCTTGTTTTGATATTACAGAACTAAGGTTTGGCCTTCACATGATCAAATGAGTTCTTAGTGCAAACCCCTTTAAAATGCTATCTATTCATATAAAGAGTTTTAGTTTTTACTTTATTGATATTTTCTTGATTTATTTTATTTGCCAAGACATACAAAACCAGAGACTATCCAAAACTTTATATATTCTTGGTAATAATGTAGAAACAAGAATCATGTTGATGACCCACTGAAGGGAGGATAACATGTTTACAGCTACTTTACACCTACATATTAAAGCAAATATTACATAACGGATATCAGATGTTGTTAAGCAAATGTTTGCAAGGGAAGGAAAAGCCATCAAAGCAAACATTTTCTAAAATGCTGTTAATGGAGGCCTATGTACTGGGCCTAACTTTCTGGTACATTATGCTTAGTTAATTGAGCAATAACATTAATTTCCACATCAGTGTTTTCATTGGCACTGGACCAGCTGCAAGGATTAACTAGCAATTTAGTAAGTTCACAAGTAGACACTGTGTACAACAGCTGACAGCTATTTTCTTAGGTATGAATACTTTCCAAATGGAACACTGAAAAGGTACATCTTAATTTTAGGTTTAGGAAGAGAAGACTCTTTCAAGAAGTTTGTTCTTTCTTTCCATATTTCATTCCCTCAAGCATTCCTCATTGGACCCAGACAGCCCTAGATAAGGTCAGGCTTCTTTAGGGCTGTGCTGACCAGCAGAGGTTTAGCAAATGCTAACATGAACCAGTTGCTTTCTCTTGGTTTTGCCAGCTTATTAATCTAATCTTTCCTACCTACTACACTGTCATTATGCCTTGCTATAAAGTTAACTACGCGCATACAGGAAACTAACAAACCTTGTGTTTGCAATGTAACAGTAACTGCCAGACCTTAATTTTTGTTTATATTTGTGTGTGTATGTGTAACAGTGCAAATGATACAAACAATGCATGGAATACAATTCTGGCATGTTCATGAAAAAGTCACATCTAAGGAATTCTAGTTATTATAATTTTAAGTATGAAGAGCTACTTTTTAGAAATTACAAACAACCTAGAGTTTAACAGTGAATAAAAATCCTTCAAGTTCTATAAACTACAAGCAGAAATGGAGTCAGGACCAGTAAGGGCAACAATCTCCACTGCATTTTTTTGGTTCCTTTTGCAGTAAGATCACTCCCTTATTTATTGCCATTCTCTAATCCCTGAAACTAGCCCCATGCCAAACATAGCCCAGTGAGGTTAGAAACTTGCCAAGAGAAGTAGCTGAGTCTGTTTATTAGCACCAGCTCTTCAATTTTGTGTTCCCTTAGCAGTTTCCTCCTAAGCTGCAGTAGCTCTCCCACCCTGAACTATAGCTCTCAACTACCCCTTAACCCAGCACTGGAATAGCCCAGTATGGACTTTGAGCTAGGAATAAAATAAAGCAACAGGTCTTTGTTGGCACTAGCCTGCCCTTCAGTTCGATTGCAGGTTGTCACCTTGCTGCTGTCGTCGTACATCTTGGAACCTTAAGTTTAACCAGGTACCCTAGGGTTACAAAGACACCCACAAAGAGCTGGCAAATGCAGAAAAGGGGTACGTGGTACAATTACATTGTCTCCA